CGCCGCTCCGGCATGCAACGCATGGAGCGCGGGATGGGCAGCGAGCGAGTACAAGGGATCGCCCTTCTCCTCCCCTTGGGTAACGGTGTGGCAAGTGCCCCAGGCGTCGACCCACGTGTAGGAGCTAGGTGTGGCGTAAAACTGCCGGGTGTAAGGAAGTAGTGGCTGCAGCTCAGGCCTCGCGTGCAACGGTGCCAGCATGGCCCCGCGGTAAACCCCAGCCGCATCAACGGACACTATGGTGGCCCGTGGATGTCTTTCGGTGGCGACGTGTGCGAGGGCCTCTGTGCCAGCGCGTGTGCTCAAGCGGGACTGCAGCTGAGCCGCATAGGCTGCGCATAGGCTTGGGCCAGGACCCGGCAAGTGAGGCGTCTGAGGACATCCCCCACAACAAGGGCCCGCACGCCCTTCCGGACTTGCGCAGCGCGACCATGCGGCCAACACGGAGCGCAGCAACGGCAAGCGGCGGAATGTCAGCTTGTGCCAGGCGTTTTGCCCCAATGTGGAGGAGCCGACCATCCTCCTCATCGTCAAGGAGGATTCGGAGGTGTGCCGAGGGGCTCGCCGCAGCTCCCCGGCGCGCGCATCGAAGCGCTGCAGTTGCGTCGCAGGGAGCGGGCACGCCTCAGCAGGCTGGAAAGCCCCAAGTTCGGGCGAGGGGGCCAGGGCAACGGCGCGGTAAGCCCTCCCAGCATCCTCGGGCTGCGTCGTCCTGGGGGGGGGCTGGGATGGGCGGGCGGCTTGCGTGGCTTGTTGAACAGCTGCGGCCAGGTCCCCGCCCAAAGTGATCGCATCGCCTCTCGAGCTCTTCGGGCGTCCCTTTTCGCGACAGTGTCCCGGACCTCAGCGAGGATCCCATGCAGGTCAAGCGCAGCTCCTGCATCGCACAATATCGCACATGTCGCGACGAGGCGGTAGCTCAAGTAGGGACGCTGCGTACACGGCCGCGACTGTAAACGAGGAGGCCGGACCAGCGCTGCAGGGTAGGTAGCGCGCAAGGAGGCCCATGATCGTCTGCTGCAGGCCATCCCCACGGTCGAGGACTTGCAGGCGGCATGGCTCGTGCTGCATCACTGCGCTACCCCGCGAACCAATTACCTCCTCCGCGTTTTACCTCCGGCAGAAACGCCGGTGTCCTGGTGCGACGCGCTTCCTGTTCTGCGCGACAGGGCGCCGGGGGCTGCTGCGCGCATGCTGCAGGCGCTGCAGGGGCCGCTTGCTGACAGCCTGCCGTCAACAGCGGCTGCCCAACACGCGGCTGTCCACCTCAGCGCCCAAAGCTACACAGTGCCTGGCTGGGAGGAGGCCACGCGGCCTCCCGCCATCTCCCGCCGAGGCAGACGCGATGAATCATGTGACCACCTCCGTGGATGGCAGCGACGTGCTGCCTACGCCTGTGACGAGCGCGCGTGCGAGATGGCATTTTCGAACCTATTACCTGCCTTGCGAGCGCTGCTGCTATCACAGGCCGGGCCGCAGTCTTCGCGTGCTCTCACGGTTTTGCCCACACATGACAAGGATGTCACGCTGCCCAAAGCGCATTTCCGCGTCCTCCTCCTTCGCCGGTTGCGCCTTCCGCTCCCGCTTGCACCGCGGGCCTGCGCTTGCCGCCGGCCGCTTGATGTGCTAGGTGACCACCAGGCGGCGTGTGCCACCGCAGGCGTCCTTGCCTCGCGCGCCATCCCTATTGAGCGATCCCGCGCCAGGGTGGCGCACGTGTGGCCAGGAACGTGCGGCTGGCTGACATGAGCCTCGATGTGCCCATGCAGGACGCCCGGCGCATTGAAGTTGTCTGCAATGGGCTGCCCCTGTGGCGCGGGGAGCAACTTGCAGTTGACGCCACGCTCGTCAGCCCCCTCGGCCGGGACGGCCAGCCCCGCACTGGCGCCGATGCCCGCCCCGGCATCGTTTTTGCCCAGTTCACACGCCGCAAACAACGCCGAACTTATCCTGAGCTGGGACGGGCGCGCCGCTGCCGATTGGTGGTGTTCGGGATCAAATAGGCGGCAGGTGGGCTCCCGAAGCCGCCACCTTCGTCTGTTTGCTGGCGAGAGTGCGCGCGGCTGAGGTGCCTGCCTCTCTCCGGGCTGCTGGAGCGGCATCCTCGCTTTTGCCGCGCAGCGAGCCTTTGCAGCATCCCTCCTCGAGCTGCATCCAGGCGGAGAGTTTAGTGCTGGCGTGCACGAGATGCTCGTCGACGCGCGCTGGCAGGCGACTCCTACCCACAGCCGCCTCCCCTTGTCTGAGGCCGAGGTGCCGCGCACGGGGACCCGCGTGGATGTTGCAGGCGAAACAAGGCCCACCGTGCTTCTGCTGATCCTCATGGCGCGCAGCAATCGTGTCTGTGTGGCAATCCAAGCCGGAGTCTCTTACAGGGTGCGGGTTGCTCGCGAGGCGGTTGGCGCTGAAGGCCGCGTTGTGCCTCAACAGTGGCTTCTGCACACCACCGCGCCTGGGATCCCGGCCGACGATCGGCGCCGCCTCGACTTCGTCTTGTACGGCGCGGCGAGGCGCTGTGCTGCGATGTCACGCTCGTGTCACCCCTGCGCGCGGACGGGATGCCGCAGCCGGGAAGTCGCGATCGTGACGGCGCGGCAATCGAAGTCGCGCGGCGCCGGAAACTCGCACGGTACCCTGAGCATGCTCGGCCCGGACCGCAAAGGCTCGTGGTGCTGGCATCTGAGGTCGGCGGGCGTTGGGGCAGCGAGGCCCACGATCTCCTGCGTCGCCTCGTTCGCGTGCGGTCCCTGCGAGCTCCCCCCGTGCTGCGCGCAGCTGCTACCGCAGGCTGGCAGCGCCGCTGGTGGGGGTTCCTGAGCTGCGCGCAGCAGCGCGCGCTAGCGTCCACGCTGCTGGGCGGCATCTGGCGCGCACCAGCGCAGCCGGGCGGCGATGGGCAGCCGACGCTCAGCGAAGTCGTCGAGCTTGCCGAACCGGCGCTGCCCTCTCTGCTGCCGCTGCGCGCCGCGTAGGAGCATGTAGGAGCGGGAAGGGCAGACTGGACACTTCCTGGCTGACGGAAAAAGGCGCGCGAAAAAAAAAAAGAAGTTTGTCTTCAGTTTGTCAGGTTTTTCAGGGGTCGAAGGCTGGGATTCGGAGAACTCACTATGCGCAGGCTCTATCTAGAGATGCCGCTTGGCTGGCACCTTGCGCTGCTGCTACTTGTACTTGTTATTTTTATGCTATTAGTATTGTTCTTGTTTGTTGTGCCGTCGCTTCTGACACTGGTTTTAGCGATTTAGCCGTGACAGCCGTGTCTCGAGTTCCAAGATTCCATCTTCTCCTTCTGGACGCCAGTTGTATTAAGTTGTATGGTAGCAAATTACTACTTGCAGCATTTAAAGTTGTGCCTTACTGTAATTACGCGTCAAAAACCGTCACAGGGTTGGTTGAAGGCTGTCATCACGAAAGTTTGCATGGGAGGCTTTCGGCGCACCGTTTCCATGATAATTGCCATACTGCAGAACCCAGCCAAACAAAGCTTGAATCCTGTGATGCCCAAGCCTTGGCCGTTGTTCTCAACCCTAAACTTACCCAAAAACAGCCGAAGTTCAACGTAGAAACGCTGCGCACCATGAAATTTCCCAGCGCCGGATTTCAGGATGTTGGCCTTCAAGGGCGCCTTGGGGCCCACTGGACCCTAAACTGCCCCAAAGCGCCCTAACCGACGAGTCATTGGGCCAAGGTTGAAATTCAGGCTCGCCATTCCGAAGTGCGCACAGCGTGTCAAAGATCCCCAAACCTATATCAAGCCTCAAATTCGTTCTTTTGGCGGCTGAGATGAGCTATGGGCTTATAGGCTCTGGAATGATGAAGATGAGTTATAATGGGAAAAGGCTTCATGGCCAACGGACAAAGGTAGCGCTCCCAGGATAAAAGTTTAGGGTTTAGGGTTTAGGGTAGATTAGGGTTTAGGGTTTAATTAGGGTTTAGGGTTTCGGGTTTAGGGATCAGTGGTTTAGGGCCTAAAGTTCCTGCAGAACCGGTATGTACTGTAGGGGCTGCATGAGCCTCCGTCGGCAGGTACGGGGGACCTCCCCTGGGTGTCATCTGTGGCGCAGATTGGGCAGATACCCCTAAACCCTTAACCCTAAACCCTAAACTCTAAACCCTAAACCCCTAGGGGGAAAAAACCCTAAACCCTAAACCCGAAGAGCTTAGCAGCAACACAGGTGCCTGCTTCTGAACTACAAGTGTGCGGGTTTTAGTGTTCACTCAGCAGTCACAGTCTCGTGAGCATCTAGCCGGCGCTTGTGTTCCTTCATGCTCACGACCATAGGCAACAACATGTTCTCGATTTTACTCAAGCGTCCAGGCAAGGATTCCACCTTGGCCAGTAGCAGGGCTTCGCGCGGCTTCGCCTGATCTGTCATGAAGTTCTGCTGATCCACTGTCACCTGGGTTTGCTCCAAGCGATCTCTCATAGCATGCGTCTCTTCGGACCACGAAGAAGTTTGCACCTCCACTGCGGCTTGCTGGGCATGCAAGGTCCTGGCTACTACCTAGGTTCATCCGTGCACTGTGAGGAAGGTCATCTAATGGGTTGTACATTGAGGGTACACTCTCTTCGGGAGGATCTCCAGGCTCACAAGCCCCGACCAATCCACATCCCCTAAAACCCAAATCGCACAATATTATCGCTGTCTTGCTCAGTCTTGAGCCATATATGGCCCCATTGGTACACTTCTCGATTTGTGCTTGTCAGCACGTCTGCTCTTGCGCAACCTTGGTACACCTCTCGGATTTGTGCACCTGAACAGGCCCGACCCCTTCCGTGATCTGCATCGCCACATGCTTAAACTTTGTCAAAGCGCTAGCTCCTTGCAGCCGTGTGTCCCCAACTGAGAGAACCGCTCCGAAAGCAGAAATGCTTGCTGTGACTTGTAAACCCAACCGGGCACTGCAAGCTCTGAGCACCAAAGCCTCAAACCAGCAAGCATGGAACCTTCAACCCAGCATCCGACTGTTCAGAGAGGTAGGGCACCCGCCGCAGCAGAGACATGCTGCGAGTCTGCACTGTTTCGGGCGAAGAAGCATTAGCTTTGCCATGGGCGGACTTCTTGGATGCTGCGTGCGACGTTTCTTGGGTTTAAGCTGAGGGTTGGCTTCTCCACCCTGCACACCAAACGGAAACCCTTTTGTGGTATGAGGGTTTGCAAAGTTCGTTTCGGCATTGAGCCATGAAGAACATTAACTGTACTGTTGCACTGTGTTATGGCACTCGTCGATGGAGGTTGCAAGGCGCCGCAGCATATTGGCAGCATTGTTTCTGCCGTCGTTTGATGCACCCCAGCCACCTGGTGTGTTGAAATGGTTGCCGGGACCCTGCAGCTTTACCCTACATTTGTTTTGCGACCCTCATGTCGAAACCGGCGCCCAGGTGGAGCATCCAGTTCGGATGTTGAAACGGCGCTTGCAACCGGTGTGCGGCGTCCCTCGGTTCAGGCAGCGGCTTCTAACGAAGGATGGCACCATTTTGCGGGAGGATGCTGAGTTAACTGGACCAACAGAATTGCAACTGGTGGTTCTAAGCTTCTACCCAGCTTCGATGGAGCAAGTCGCTGAGCTTGTGTCTGCTGCAGCCAGCAACGATGTCTTAAACTTAGATCGGCTTCTTCAAGAGCCACAAGACCCAGAACCTCTACAAGTGCCAAGTCCGTTGTGTGTTGCATCAGGACATGGGCACGTGGAAGTTGTTCGGCTTCTGGTAGAAGCCCAAGCAGACAAGAACAGGACTGACCAAGATGGTGCTACTCCACTGCACATGGCAACGCGCAGCGCGCACAAGAACGTGGCACGTCTCTTGCTTGAAGCCGCCGCTGATGCAAGCCCGCCCAACCGGCACGGCATCACTCCTTTGCACGAGGCGTGTAGGCTGGGCTTCTCAGGGCTTGTTGGTCTTTTGATCGAGGCTCACGCGGACACGGACAAGCAGGACATGCAGGGGCAAACTCCGGTGTTCTGCGCGGCTCAGAACCGTGACGAGCGGGTCCTCGAGCGGATCCTACACCTGCTCTTGGAAGCTGCCGCCGAGACAGACCAGGCGACGAGATTCGATAGATGCACTCCTTTGCAGATTACCTGCGGCCAAGGTTTTCTGAAAATTGCCCGTTTGTTGCTTGAAGCACGCGCAGACGCGACCAAGGCTGATCGGCATGGTTTAAGCCCACTCTTCATCGCAGCGGACAAGGGCCACCACAAGGTTGTTCGCTTGCTGCTTGAAGCGAAGGCCGACCAGGATCAATCCACTGACCGTGGTGCCAGCCCGCTATTCGCAGCAACCTCGCGTGACCAACTGCAAAGCATAAGCCTGCTCTTGGAAGCCCAAGCAGATATGGAGAAAGCAGACGCGCGAGGTCTAACTCCTGTCTTTGTAGCCTCATTGAATGGCCATGCCGGGGCTGTGCAAATGCTATTGGAGGCCCACGCGGACCCATCCAAGGCAACAGGGGCCAATGGTGCCACGCCCTTGTCCGTGGCGGTTCATCGAGGAAACGTAGCAATTGTTCGGTTGCTGTTGCGTGCGGGCGTCGATGTTGACCAAGCCAATCATAAAGGTGAAACCCCTGTATCCATCGCATTACAAAGGGGGCACTTGGAGGTGCACCGCCTGTTGCTGGAGAAGGACACATGATCCGCGCCGAAAGAAAAACAACGATCTTCATCTAGAAGCTGCAACAGACGGTCATGGTTGACGACCCGTGTAGTCGCTCCAGCACTTCATCTTCGTACTTGGACAGCGGTGACTTGCGGAGAATGCTAAGCTGGACATCACCAGGTCACCAGGGCAAGGTGCCTTGTCGTCAGCTCCACTGTCTCTGCTCTCGCGTGGTGTGCCCTGAGATGGTCGCCGCCAGCATGCTCGTCCACAATCGCAAGATAAGGGTGGTGGCCATCTGGAATTTTGATTGCTAGCCTGAGATGTATCTCCGGCACAGGGACAGTGTTGGAGCGTTGGAGAAAAGCAGCAACCCCAGGATGTCTTGTGGCATTGTCAAGTCAGCATACGAAAGCATTGGGCACGGCAGTGTCCGTGTAGATCGTGTAGGGGGCTTGAGCGGAGAAGGTGCCGCGCACGCTGCTTTCGGCCCTCTTTTCTTAGTCTTAGTGTTTCAACCATGTCGTGTTTTGCATGCCGCAAAGAACCATAAACATGGGAATCATGTATGTTTGCTCCCGTCAATGCCATGACTTCCAACACGCCAAGTCACGCTACAGTAACATTCGCAGCAGAGCACCCTTCCGGAGCATGACATCTGCCATCGCAGAAGCAGATGCAGAAATCAAGCCGCAGGCGGGACTTTGAAGTTGAAGCAAGAGCGTCTTCATAAACAAGATGCATGTTTGCGACATGGTAGCTTTGTTGCGGATAGCGCTCCCCCCCACCCCAAACAGCTGAGAACGCCCTGCGTGAACCACTTCGTGCAGAGGCAGATTGGGATGCACAGGCGGCGTTCGCCCCACATGTTGTTACCACAGCAGATGCTGTCGAGTATCAAGCTGCTCGTCAGCAGGAACGTTGCATGGTAGCTGTCAGCGTTTGGACGGGTGCTGCTCGAGATTGCAACTTAGAGCCTGCAAAGGTTGTCATTCCAACGTACCGACGATGGCGGCAAACACAGGAGCTGGCACCGAACAGGCAGCGCTTCAAAGATTCGAAGCAGGCCTTTATTTTGGACTATACGCTGAGCTTCTTGACAAGGCAGGGCATTACATGACAGGAGTTTCTACTTGCTGCAACTGCTTTTAGCCATGTCAGTGTAAGGTGGACACGTTTGGGTTGTTTTGGCATCAACTTATCTTGTGGTTGACGTGCAGCTTGGTTTGTCCGTACTGTTGCTGCACCCGAGGTTGTAGTGCAGCTAGTTGCGCTGCTGTTGCTGTTTTCCTTACCAAGTCTTGTTAGTGTTCTTCTTGCAGCTGCTGCATGCAGCCGGCGTGGGGATTTGACCCCTGTTTCCTGTTTGGGGAAATTTGTGCATCCTTGTACCTCGCCGCATTGACCAGGGAGGCCGTGCCCAAGAGCCGCGTGACCCTCTTCGTCGCGACCGACGTTGAAGCTGCGAACTACCGCGAAGCTCTCCAGGATGGGAAAAGATGGTATGCTTCTACCTTTTAGTTTAGGAGTCCTACGAGTTCGAGTTCTTGGGTTTCCTTTTGTCATGTGCAGCAAGCCCGGATGCAAAAGCTTCATGTGCATCGCGGGAGTGCAGGGATCAGATTGGGCAGATGTGCGGATAACGATTTCTGCACCGGGCATTCGTGACAGCCGTGCCTCGGCAAACCTGCATACTTATTTCGCGCTGCGATCCTAGGCGCACACCAAGCTAGCTGAGGGCAGCGTGAGAATGAGAACGAAGCAGATAGGTCCTTCCAATACAATATGTGTTGCATGTTTGGTCCTGGACACAGCAAGACTACTAGTTTTATGTCGTGTGTTACCCCTAGCTTCATCAGCGTGGGTATTATAAGGCAACTGCCATGGCAAAAGCTTGCGTGAAACGCATGAACATCTCAGAGGGTTTCGTAATCATTCTGCAAGAACTGAGGCAATTTTATTTACAAACATTTTCCTGCAGATACCTACGTGGTGAGCTTGGATGATGATATCGAAGGGATCAAGCGTCTCAGCTCAAGGATTGGTAAAGCGGGCAGAAAAACAGTGTGCAGCCGTATGCAGCTCGCAGCCTCTATGCTTAGGTGGAAAGTTCGTGAGGGCACGACTGACGCGGCTTGCGTGGATTTACCCGCAGGTGAGGTTGACAGGAAGCCTGCGTGCGTGTGTATCGCACCCGCCACGGGTCATGAGTATGGGCTGCAGCTGTTTGGTTTTGTGGAAGAAATGTGGGGCGGTCCTGGGTTCTGACTGCAGGCAGCTTCGTCAAGCTCGTGTATGACGCCTACAAGCGCATGAAGGAGCAATACTGCCATACTTGCAGCCAGATCGATCCCTGTTTCAGAGCGTTCTGTCGCAGGAACACGGCGCCTACTTGTGGGGCCTTAGCACATCGCAAAACCCGCGGGCTCTGAGAGTCTTGGCATTACTTAACAAGTGAAGGTTAACTTGTTTGATCGTCGCTCAGTCAGCAAACAATCACGAGCGTGTCGAAACCACCATGCACTAGGTTTGACTGTCTGCTCGTTGCGGAACGGCTTGATCAACGGGCAGCGTGGCCGCATGTGGTGGTGGTGTGCAGGAGTTGGAAAGTTGGACCCGTGTTTTGGCTGCGGCATGCTTATAGTAGCTGTGGTTGGAGGTACCTGCATGGCTTCATCTGCCGGCCTGATGCAGCTTCAGACCTGCTGCGGCGGCTAAGTGACGCTGTCGAGGCTTTCGGCTTTCTTCCATTTGCTGGTAGAATTGTTCAGCCGCACTGCACCTTGCGCAAGGACGCCGAGTTTTCGGTGCGCCACTTTGCCAAGGACCAGAACAGTATCCATGCTTCAGCCGAGCAAAATCGTCGGCAGCAGCTGTTGGTAGAAGTATGTGCCAGTTCTTCTGCGTGGGCAAACTTTCCTGTGGTGCAGGATGGTGTTGTACTGCGATACAGGATGTATGCAGGCTTGCCCTTTGTTCAGTTCTTGGAAAAGGTCGTTTCGGAATGTGAGGAGGCAATAGCCACGTCGTCATGAAACGGAGAGCATGAGCAAGCGAGATTGATCAGCGTGAGCCGCAAGATTGCGCAGAGCCCGTTAGTTGCCAGGTCGCACATCTCCTTTTTCAAACCAGGGCGGATTGCAGAGCAAGTTCCACGCAGCTGATGCCCGGAAGACAGAGGCCACTAGTGAAGGACATGTGGTTGCAACATGCAACAGGAGTCAGCACACGTGTAGAGGAGTGGTGTGGTGCACAACAGTTGCACGAGCTCTTTCCCACTTTGATCGGGGCTCCAAGTGCCGCGTCTGCAAGTTCTCGGTCCAGCCAGTTCCAGGGAGGAGGGCTTGCCAAAATATGCCCCCAAATTCGCACACCAAGGTGAAGAGGGCGAATCAACAGCTTCAACTACCATGCAGGCCCAGCATGCCAAAATGTTTAAAGACTGCCCGCGCCTGGTTCGATGGTTCGATGTGGGCCTGGAACTTGAGCAACACCTCAGGGAGCTGCTGTGCATAATCCCTGGCAAATATTGAAATATTGGGGGGGGGTGCAGGGGGCATACCGGGCTTGTAAACTGGCGCTCGCCAACAGCAAAATTCTGCAGACATGCGGATCATGTGGGCCACCGAAGCCACGAAGCTACGGTGGCAGTATCTTCCCACCTGGTCGGGCAGGTAAAGTTCATTTTCGGGCCCGTCAAGAGGCCTTCGGACGCGGCTTTGATGTTGCTTGTGACTTGCTTCGGTTGAGTGCCGAAGGCTTCAATTGCACGGATGGTCTAGTGGCTTCGTCTGATGCAAGGGACCTTCGCACGGTGCGGCGCCTGCGTGGCCTGGGTCGCTTTATGGTGCCCATACTGAAGGCCTGGTGCTGCGCTCTGCAAGGCTCTGTCCTGGGTTCGGTGGCTCGCAACAGCTGCTATGTGAGGCAAAGAAGAACCGGAAAGGCCTTAGCATGTTGGCCCGGGCCAAGGCGCCCTTTTGTGCTCGCCGTTTTGTTGGGGGTGGGTTGGTTGGGGTACCTGGAGGGCAATGAAGGGCAGTTGGCCCAGGCATTCATTACGACGGGAAAGAAGAAGGCCAGTGCTGCTGCTCTGCCACTTGGATGGCGTTTTCTGATCTGCCAAACATGGCGATGTACTTGCTGCTGCTGCTTGATGCTGCCAGCTCTGCCAGGGGCTGTTGTTCGGTTCCACTGCCGGAAACCTCTGCAAAAATGAGCAGTAGCTGTCAGAGATGCAGTTGTTGAGGATAGGACATGCGGCAACTGCGTTGATGGTGTGCCCCCCAGGGATGCAGAGATTGCGGCAAAGCGCAAGAGGAGGACACAAAGCGCATTATCATCATATGTCATAGGTGTTAGAGGTGTTGCCTGGCCATCTTTCCTTGGTGGTGTCCCAGCAAGAAGCCATCCGCACGACATTTACTTCAAATCTGCAACCAGTTTTTTGATGCACGTGCATAGTGTTCTTGGACAAGAATGATTGAGTAGTCTCAGACTGCGCTGTTGTTGGGGCGTGAGGGGCCGGATAGAACTGTCCACTTTGGCATGTTTGTGCGACAGTGAGCATCAACCCCGGGCATGTGCCAAGACTTGCCAAGAGATCCAGCAATGTAAATCTGGGCTTGAGGCTTGAGGTACTCAAAGCGACGAGTTCAAGCCGCAAGGGTCCCATCGAGACCGGCCCCATCTAAGCGTCGTCAATGATGCCAGGATGGCTTCGCGAGCCGAGACCGCGATGGCTTGTGACCGCAAGATTGTCTCCACGAGCGCGCTTGATTTGATGGATGAGGAGCTGACTGGCGCAAAAGTGGCGTAAACACGCCAGAACCTTTCAAACCATTGGCCCTGTGGGGGTCCTGAGTATCGCCGGGAAAACGTTTCGCAGAAGGGCAGAGATGACATCTAACGAGAGCCTTGACCAGGACAAACTGCGCTTCGCGAAGAACACGAAGACACCCGGTTCAGCGTCGTACCGCCGTGTCTTTGCTGCGAGCTGGGATGAAGAAGATGGCAAGCTGCCTCGTGAAGCCAAGAAAACTTGCGTGCCACGGGCCCTACGAGCTGAGGCTATGCTAAGTACTCGAAAGCCCAAACGGTGAAAGAAGCAATCGCCTTGGGCTGGAGGCTGCTTGATTTGAAGGATGAGGGGAGAAATCCAGACATTGCACCCAACTTGCTTCTACTGGGGCCAGGGAACTGCTCAGGCATGCGGATCGGAAGTTTGATATTGCCCACGGATTTGCGAAGATTGTGCCGTGGCTGAAGGCAGCGACCAGGCATCGGATTGACATGTCATGGTTGCCATCAAACGAAGGATGCACCGGCTGTAGCGAGGTCATGCTAGACACGAAGCCGGCCAGCAGTGAGTGCATGGCCAGCATCTCAGAAGGCTTTGCACAGCTGAGCTCCTGGTTGCATAAGCCGTTCCAGGTCGAGGACGAGAAGTTCGTGGTTCCACCCGTGCCGTCAGGCCGTGCAGTCCCCATTCGGCTGGCCGAGGCCCTCTCCTTCGGAAAAGCTGGGTAGCCCAAGGTTTTCGGCCAGCCTGTATGCAGGTTGTTGAGAAGAATCCCGGAATACATCTCAGCCGGGCGTGCGGAGCCCAAGATCAGTTCTTCAAGAACTTAGATGAGTGGAGCTAGGCAAAAAGTCGCCGCAGATGAACAGACCCTTGGTCAGAGGTGCATCTGGCCGCTGCTCAGTCGCTGCCCTGTCTTCGACGTGGCGGCAAAGGCTCGCTGCCACAGGAGGTGTCAACAGGGTTTAGGGTTTTGGGTTTAGGGTTTAGGGCTTTTCGTCCCTGGCAGGCAGTGCAGCAGTCCTAGCCGTAAAGAAAGGGCTTTAGGGCTTCAGGGTTCGGGGTTTAGGGTTTAGGGTTTCCAGAGACTCGGTGGGGAAGTTGGACGATGTTGGAGATGGCCAGGGTTGCTGGGCCAAGCTGGCCGCACCAGGTGGGCTGCTTGCCGAGGCACCATTTTTGAGGGCTTTCTGGGAATCAGAAAAGGGTTTAGGGTTTAGGGTTTAGGGTTTAGGGTTTAGGGTGTAGGGTTTAGGGTTTAGGGTTTAGGGTTTAGGGTTACAGCACGTTACAGCTTCCAGGTTCAAAAGGGTTTAGGGTTTAGGGTTTAGGGTTTGACCCAATTGTGAGCCTTGGGTTGCTTGCTACAGGTATCTCCGTCATGATATCTTTGACGCAAGCATTGCAAAGGGTTTCAACCTTTTCGAAGCACCTGCTGGAACAGCGTAGTGCTATGTAGTGCTTCTGCGTTTCCCTTTCACCAAAACCAGCCATCACTCTCTGCAGGTGCCCCTTCCCATCTTCAGGATTCTTCTGCATTGGGGTCGCACCAGTTCCTTGTATCGATCTTCAAGGCTATGCCATGGCTTTTGATGCAAGATTCCGATGATGCCTGTGGTGTTCAAGCTGCTGACCAGAGGTGTGGTGCTCCGTAGTGCTGTATCCTTTCGTGCCTTCAAGCTACCTGTGGACCCTAAGTCCCAAGCCCTGTAAAGGGGAAGCTCAGGCTGCCTGGCTTTTGCACGAGCCCAGGGTCCCGCACTGCTCAGAGCTTTGCGACGACTGGGTGCCGAGGCGACGGCCCTTCGTCGCCTGGCTATCCAGGTTGTCCAGTCGAGGGAAAATGTCAAGTTGAACCCTCCTTCATATTGTGCTACCTGCTCAGACCCTACTGAATAGTTCCCCAGGATGAGGCCTGGCAATTTAAAGGCCCGGGCCCTGACTCCGCGCCAACCTGGCAAGCTTTCTCTCAAAGAGACCTAAACAATCCAATCACTCCTGTCTAAGCCCGCAAGAAGGGGAGCGGGCAGGGGGAGGCAACCGAAAGAGCCCAACATCATTGTGAGTTTGTAAGTGAGTAGCTTTACAATGGAGCATGTGCTGCGAAGTCGCCGGGTGGCACCTTGGGCTTGTTCACTGCCTTCAGACATGAGACCAGTAGCACTGGCCACTACATTCCCTGCATATCTGTGCTGGTGTTGTTCGAGTTCGGACATCGGGACGGCAAGCTGTTTTCACAGACCGGGCCCCAGGCCATCCTAGACTTGCCCCTTCACTCAGGCATAGAGCAACGACTGGACAAGAGCGCGTTGAAGTTCAGCACGTGCCTGGGTGCAAATGTGGGCAGCGTACATTTGCTCTCCGATTCGAAGCCTGTCCTGTCTGCCTTGGACCAGAGTGTGCCCCTGCGTGCCTAAGGTCATCGTCGGGCGGTGTGGCAGTTGCCGCAGCAGAGCCAGTGAGATGCGCAAGCTCTGGCACCGAAGGCTTGCGCTCCAGGACGTTCGCATCCTTTATGCTTGAGCTTTAGTGCCGGTTTTACTGTAGTTGCTGCTTTTTTCACTGACGGCAGGTGATGTTGCGGGAACAAAGCGCGCAGCCAGTGCTGCAAAGGGATCCAAGAAGCGAGGTCGAGCGAGGAACGCCGTTGAGGAACCACCTTCAAGAGTTCGCGCGGCGAGCTTGCTTCAAATGGCCTTTAATTCGAAGGGCGAGGGTATCACTGTTGCAGCTTCGCAGTTGGCCTGCAACAGGCAGCTAGAGTCAAAATGCAGAGGTGAGGACGGTGAGGTACAGGAGACGAAGGAGACTGGACAGACTTGTCAGCATGGGAAGGCGGTTGCAACGCTGGGAATGGTGGCACCACAGTCTTTGACAGACGCTGACAAAGCTTGTACCTCCACATCTTCAACGAGATCGACTGAGTCGACCGAATCGCGTACAGATGTGGACTCAACGACTCAGAGTCTGTCAGGAGAGCCGCAAGATGGACGAGAGCCACGAAAAGGCGCAGCAGGCGCGGCCGACCTGGACCAACTTGCAAAAATGCCTGGCCCTAGTCCGACGCCTTTGGTGGCCGCGAAGGAGGGGGAGGATTCTTGGCACATTCTTGGCATCTCTGTTTTGAGAGGGTGACCGCTCTTAGCACTAAGTTGCCCATCTCTGGGGATGAGACTCGACGTGGGCATCTTAGGTTGCAGTGGTGTTGGGTGGACGAGTTCACTTCCAGAGGCGCCTCGATTGCAAGCGCATTTTGGTCATCTGCTCACAGAAGCGGAACATGCAACTGAAGACGGCCAGAGTCTGCACCCAGAATCCTAAATCCTAAAACCCAAAGGCCCTGCCTTGCCTGCCGCGTGTGAGAGTAGAACATCCTCCTAACCCCCGGGTGGAATGGCAACCCCCTCCCGCACCCCCCCCCCCACCCAGCCAGGAACTTGAAGTCGCTCTTCGCGTGCAGAAGCTGAGGCCTAGAACCAGCCTTATCTCGCGCACAGTCGCGCACCCTCATTCTGCAGTTTGCCCCCTTAAAGAAGAGGGGTGGGTGCGTTACGGTTTGAGTTTCTTTAGGCCGAGAGCATACCTGATTTACATGATTGCCCCTGCGAGGCCATGAGGCCCATGCTCCCGTCCTCGAACTGGCCGAAAAGTAGCGTGGGCACGTTTCGCGCAGGCGCCGTTGGCAGCCGGCTACATCTGCTCCCATTTAAGTCTTGCCAAGCCCATGCCTGCACTCAGGGCTTTACTGCAACGACGCCTGTGCGCAAGCGGACTGCCCCGTCTCAACGTAGTAGATGGCGCTCGTTGTTGCTGCATGTAGTGCAATGCACATCTCATTGAGGTTCTAGATCGTTCAATGTTTCCGGCATTCTGGGTCATGTTTAGGGGTCGCCAGGGCTTCCCGTGTCGCAGAATCGCGACATGGTGTCTGCCGCAACTGCGCAACTGTGCTGTGATATTATCTCCTACTGCGTGCTGATATCTGAAACCAGCCTGATAAACTTCTTGGTTGATCACAGCCTGGTGGCAGTCAAGGAAGCTAGGCAGGCTGCAGGGGCATGAGCAGCCAAAAACGAGCGACTCACAGTCCTTCGAAATGCTGGTGGACGGCATGTGCTGCATCTCCGCATCGAAGTGCTGTGCGCGGCAGTCTTGGCAGAAATGCAAAATCGGCGCGCGGTCGTCCCTGTGGCTCAGGAAGCACATATCACGGTCTGCAGTCAACAGCCGCGGGAACAGAGTTTGCACAACTTCCCCTGCAAAAGCACCAGCCCTAAATATCGGCAGCATCCGAAGTGGCACCGACTAAGTGTATCTTTGTGTCTCCCCCATGGCTGCCATGGACGTGGAGGTGCATGCTCTGTCCGGTGTCCTCCTGTGTGCCTTGCAGGTGCAAGGAAACCAAACGGTGGCAGACCTGAAGGGATTGGTCCACAAGAGCACGCAGATCAAGCCAGCCGTGCAGAAGCTTCTTCTGGGCCCTTCTGTGCTGCGGAACACAGATTCCTTGAGCGAGCTCCTCACGCAAGGCATTTTCCGGTTGGGTTACGGCAGTTTTCTGGTTCGGTCGCAGTAAAACAAAATCGCCAGATATCAAGGGGGGCTTCGGCAGTTTGCGATTGAAGGGAACACTCCACGCAACGCTACTTTTTGAGCCTGAGCCATCGGGGCAGGAGCCGTCAACGAGGTCGTCTTGCTACAGACCGACAAGTGGATCGAGGAAGTCGCGCAGGATTGGCGTCGTTTGCGGAAAGCCTCGGAAGCAGTTCGCAATGACAAGGACGCTTGGAATTGCAATGGTGTGCAAGAATGTTGCAGCTGGCAGCTTGGTTTCCTCCTGAGCGATCTGAGCGATGTGAGAGCACTTTGAGGATCTGGTCCTGGCAGCCATCGAGCGAAGCCAGGGCGAAGCGGTGAAGTTTGCCGGGGACGACATCCGGGCCGATCGGGAGGCTGGAGCCATGACTCATGAGGGCTGAATTTCGATGTTTATGTACCAATGTACCTTGCTGAGATCGCCCTAAAGGTCATGCTGGCTGCCATGAAATGCAACGGGTCCCTCTACCGGCGCCTTCGCTGAAAGTTCGGACGGTGCCGGGCATCGACGCGACAGTCATAGTTTGAGAGGTTGTGACTACTAACCTGCCCGAAGCTGCACATATGGGCTTCGAGACCTGCATTGGCAGGCTGCTGAGAGCATTCATGATGGCATCCTAAGTTGACTCAGGTACGCAAACCCTTCGTTGGGCTTGGATATGGAGTTCATGCTGGCTGTCTTGCATCAGCCTCCATGCCGACATTGCCCACTTCCTTCGTGGCAGTGGCACACTTCGCCAGAGATGTGTTCGGACAAAAGCTTCATACTACTGATGGTTGCCCGCAAGGGCTTGGCCCTGCAACATGCAGCAAGTGAGCTCAGGGGTGACGAGGAAGTGGTCAGGGCCGCTATGAGCGAGTATCCGCTGGCATTCCAACATGCTTCGCACGCATTGAGAAGCAACCGTGATTTTGCTCGCTATGCTCTTACAGTGGGCATGGGCAATTTTATACATGTCGCTGATGAATTGAAGGGGGACAGGCGCTTCATACTGGACTGCCTGCCGGCCTACCACGGTAATCCAATCCCCACCTCCATTCTCAAGCATCTGCCGCAGACTTTGCATTCCGATCGTGAAGTGGTGCTTCGGGCTTTGGAGGCCGTACCCCCCTGCCATCGCAAGGCCGAGCTCTCGCGAGCTGCCAAGGACTTGCAGTCGTGCAGCGAGCTGAAAGAAGCTGCTGGCGTCACCCCAAGCCGCGCAGTTCGAATGGACGCCCAGATGGCCCAGATGCCATTGCCCACGGAACAGCCCGGGCCAGGCTCGCTGCTTGCAGAAGTGCAGCAGGCACTGCAATACTCGACGGCCGAAGCACAGAACAAGCAATCGTTCTGGCGTACGCTTGTTGACAAGGATCCGGCTTTGCTCACGATGCTAGGACAGGAAGCGGCTGACGAGAGAGAGTTGGTTCTTGCAGCTGTCAAGAAGGATGGCCGCATGCTCGTGCACGCAAGTGACGACCTCCTACTGGATGTGGGCCTCGTCGGCGCAGCCTTAGAGGACGACGCGGCTGTTTACGATCTGCTGCCAGAGGCCACACGATGCAACGCAGAGATTGCGCTGCTTGCTTTTCGTAGACATAGGATCAAGCTGCCGAAAGCTCTCTTGTCCAATCGGCATGTGGTAGTAGAAGCTGCGGCCATACAAACCAATGCCACAGACGTAGAGAAGCGGCGACTGCAGAAGCTTCCTTTGGCTCACCTTGTTGCAAAGTTCGAGCTGGCTTAAGGCCCTAGCCGGGTACGCAACGAGTTGTACAGGACCCAGCCAACTTTGCAGAGAAAATGCTGCCGCACCATCGCTTTGGCAGTGCACATGGCCGAAGCCTTGCCCATGCTTGCAATTTTGCCCATGCTTGCAATTGTGTTTCCGTGAAGATTTTTGTTGATGCGACAAATCCCAAAATTTTGCCCTCCTGGCTGTGGATCGCCACTCCTGAGCAGATCAGCCTGCTAGGCTGCAGATTCATGCATGTACAACCAAAAAGGGCCTATCCACCTTTTCGCAGCATGATTTGAGAGCGTGGCTTTGGCTTTTGCATGCATGCAGGACGTGCAGGGCCTTTAGGCGCAGTGTCAGCACCTCCTTGAAGCTTTTGCCGAAGCTTCAGTAGAGGGGGCGGAAGGGGGAAGAACTTGCAGCAACATTCAAGATCGAGCTGTGGGATGCCAGTGACCCTGCGACCCTCGTAATGCGAGACATGTGCGTTTGCCGTTTACCGTTTACCGTTTACCTTAGCGCATTCCGGCCGATGTCTGGCAAGAGTTGCTTCATTACTTCAAAAGAGGTCACAACACTCGCGCAAGCAAAGAGAATAATGTTCATGCGAAGCTCTCATTGTTGCATCACCTTGTCAAAGTCCTGTTCGTTGAGCACTCGTGTTTCTCCGGGTTGAGCAGATGCCTTTCCATCACCAGTGGTGATGCTGACTCCCGAAAAGAGACTGAGCTGAACAGCTGAACCTTCATTGCGAAGAGGACTCAAAACCACAAATCTATGCATTTCAACACGTAGTGAATGTGAGTTCCGAATCGCGTAGGAGAACGGACCGTCAAAGTCGGAGTCAGTGTCAGGCAGGTGGCAACGGAAGAGCTCTAGCCCAGAAGGACCCAGATCTTGGAAACCCTGATCAACACAGCAGAATTAGGGTTTAGGGTTTAGGGTTTAGGGAGTTTACGGTTTCAACTCCCTTCTTTCTTGGTCAGCCAGTGGCTTCCTAGCTCGGACCCTGTCACCATGTTGAATCAAACCAACTCTCCGTATCCCAGCGGCCATTATGGTGCAAAAGGCTGCATGCACTTTTACATAGCAGGTCCTCCCTCCCAGATTGCAGCTGCCTTTGGCATGCTGATGTTTCGCCACCGGCTGGGCTGGCCCCTGGCACTGGCATGCCTCGCGTGCCAGATGTCCTGCCCGTCACTTTGTCATAGTTGGGTAACATTTTACATGTTTAAGGGTACTTAAAACCCAAAAAGGAATACAAGTTAAACATTTTAATACTATCCGAATCCCAACCGTGAATCAGGTCAGCCGAGCGAGGTTCTTTAGAACTCGGCGGAGGTGCTTCACTCGATCAGGTTGTGGCATTCGGCTTCACCTACAACGACATCGTCGAGGCATTGCAGGAGATTCAAGACGAGAAGGCGGGCGCAGTGAAGGCCCACGGGCATGAAAGGTCGGAGCTGGCCGAAGATGCCGAGGGCTCCGAGGCGGAGACAGACACGACCGAGCAAAGTCAGCAGGAAGACAGTGCGACGAGTACGACAGCCAGCTCAGAGCCCTCAGAGCACGTCACGTCTGAGGAGACTAGTGCGAAGGTGGCTCGAGATAGCTTGAAGTGGAAACACTTCTATGGCCGCTTCCGGTCCAAGCAGGACGAGAGCCCAGAGCGTGCCTCATGTTTTATCTTTTTCTGTCTCTTAGCTGACTGGTGTTGTGCTCCTGAATGTGCTGAAGCCTTGAAGCCCAGAACTGGAACCCCGGCTTTGTGTAAAGAAATGAATAGAGTCGCACAGACATGGTGTCTTGGCTATCGCAGGAGGAAGACCTCCGACAGTTCGCGAAGTTCCCTGAACTCGTCAAGCTCTTGGAGGCGAAATCCCACAAGGTCATCACAAAGAGCAGAGGCTGGAAGCATCTGCTGGAGAGAATTAGCCAGGAGAACAAGAACTTCACAGATTTGATTAGGAAGTTTGGCTCGGCCGTGAAGCAGGACAACCTCGACAAGGTGCAGCGCGTTGTTTCCGTGCTTGGTGGCAGAGGGTCGTCGACCAGTTCCACCACATCGAGCCCACAGGATGCCAATCCACAGGCAAACCTTGGACTGGATGAGGATGAAGACGAGGAGGAAGAGGAAGCAGAAGAGAAGAGCAAGGATGAGGATGAAGAAGAGAGCAACGAAGATGAAGACGAAGAGGAAGACCAAGGCGAGGATGAGTCTGCAGGGCAGCAGGGTTTGGTGCCCCAAGCTTCGCAGAAGCAGTCTCCGATTCGGAAAGTGAAAGCTGCCACAACATCGCAAAGGAGTAAGGATGGTGCGAAGACATCGACGACGTCGCCTTCGAAGGAAGGGACGAGTCTGAAAGAGCCACCTGGGAGTTTGGGTATAGACAATGACAGCGTGGAGGATGATGATTGATGATGCAAAGACGTGCGACAGCACTTGTGACTGTGCACCTTGGTACAGAAGACAGGCAAGCTAAGTAGACGTTGGAGAAGCAGACGTGAGATGATGCCAGCCGGACGCGACACACTCCCCACCAGAGTTTCACCGAAAAAGCATGGGTGCGCCAGTCAGCTTGCATTACTGTCTTAGCAGGTCTAGCAACGGTTTCCTGCAAACAGAGCGATCTGTGTCGGAGCATTTGGCTATCAAGCATTGTCCTTGTCAGCCAAAGCTGGGGGCAAGGAGTGCAGGCACACTTTTGGCATGATTAGTGAGCGAAACGCTGTTGCACGCCATCGCACTGCAAGAGCATGCTGTTGAAAAGATGGAGGCCAATGCTGGGCAGCGAGGTGGGCATTGCCCTTGCGAGGGCCCTAGAGCTCGTGAAGTGAGAAACCCTCAGTTCTAAGCTAAATTCTGTCCTGCAGCGCTAAAGTCGAAACCCTAAGCCCTAAACTCCAAACCAGCTTCATGTGCCTGGCATGCCACGGGTAGAGTTTCTCGGACGCGATTACTTGCGGGGTGCTGGGTCCCCAAGCGGAACTCAGAGCGTTCTTTGGCGGAGGAAAAAAACTTTTCTCACTCCTAGGAATGGGGTCCCAAAAAGGGGGATGCCAGGGGAGGGGTTTTCCTCAGGGGAAGAGGGGCCTGGAGTGCTTGTTCTAGACGCCTCTCGGCCGAAGGCGAGGCGAATTTCCTGCCTCCTCATCAGGGTAAGGATGAGCGAGTCTCTTTTTTTTGGGCGGCATCGAGGGGGAGGGAGTGCGTCAAGGCGGGAAGGCCCTGCTGAACCGGGGCGACGATTTCCTTCGTGACAAGACCAGTTTCCAGTGCCTTACGATCAGTTTCCCTAAACCCTAAACCCTAAACCCGAAACCCTAAACCCTAAACCCTAAACCCTAAACCCTAAACCTTAAATTCGAAAGTCTCAATGCACCGCTGCGGCGCAATCAATGACGAGCACATGTTGAGGGGTTCCCTTCACATGCTGTGTGTGTTGTCAGTGTCTTGTAGCTGTTTACCTTTGTAGCGGGCTTCAGGAAGGGAACTCTCGCTGAAAAGGCTGAAGGCAACGTGAGGTTGGATGGCTGCAAGCTTACGTGCGGGAGTTTTTGGGTTCGATTGTAGGTTGACTTGCTTGGGTGACATGTAGGCTGGCTGGCATGTCGTACACCGAGAGAGCTCTTCCCTACAGCCAGTTGAGGGGGTGTACTGTGAGGGTTTTGTTTTTGTTTTTTGGGTCGAATCGTTGGTGGTTGGATGACAAGTGGGGAAGAGTGATGAACCCGAGGGTCTTTAAATCCCAAGAGGGGGGCGAGTGTGCGAGCTTTCTCCGCAGTGGAGGTTCAGAGGGACCTGCAAAGGTCCGGCCTTTTTTTCCCCAGCAGTATCGACCATCGACCCTGCTTGCGGTTCGGCCAGCTATGCGGGAGGGACAAAAACCCTAAACCCTAAACCCGATGTGCTGGTTCACAGTGCAGTCGCGCTCAGCTGCTCAGACTCAGAGATAGCGCCGAGTAAACCCTAAACCCTAAACGGGTTTAGTGTTTCTCGAAGCACTGACCTGCGCCTTCTCGCTGGCCCCAAGCCCTCCGTGGCTGCAAAGCCTCCCAGGGCTCCAAACATGCTCCAAACCCTCCCCGTACGACCCTAGGGTTTAGGGTTTAGGGTTTGGTGCCCCGTCTGATACGACGCTTCTTAATCAAGACTGACATATGCCTTCGTTTAGTGCTTGAATGAGCGCGCAGCATGCAAGATGCTTTTGGGAAAGCACATCAAAAACCTCACAAGCCTTTGTATTTAAGGCTGGGCTGGCGAGCTACTGCTGGATGGTACGATGTATGCTGGGGTTGCGCCGCCTTCCTGGCAGCAACATCCAGCGCCTCGAGGCGCGTGATCGGGCCGTCGTGTTCCTTTCAGCTCGTGCAAAAGCTTTTTGTTACTGTTATGAATGTCTTGTTGTTTATCTTCTTTGCGTGCTATCATCATTGCTATTAATAATCATTGTTTTTGCCATTGGGATTATCAGTATTGCTGTTTTCATCATCAGCATCAGTATTATTATTATTATCATGATCATTAGTATTGTTATTATCATTATTAGTATTATCACTATGATGATGATTTGTATTATAATTATTATTATTTATCATTATTATTAATACTATGAATCGCAGTTTTGGTTGGAATGTGGCTTGTGTGTGTGTGCGTGCGCTAAGCTCCTCTTGGAAGATGCTAGACTTCACATGATGATGGGCAGCTTACGGTTGCAACAACGGATCAGACATTGAGTCCGACCAGCATCCTTCCCGCCGGCATAGAAGGACCACGAGGCAACATGCCCGAAGGGACCTTCACCGACATGTCCGAGAAGAGGCAAAAACGCCGGGACGCAAGAGAACTTATCCCGGAACAGTTGTGGAAACAACCAGGGTCTTCCGAACGTGCAGCGAGACAGGCTCCTCTCACGTCCTGCATGTGGGTAGTTCTCTAAGTTAAGGTCCCTTTTGGGTCCTTGATATATGGGTGCCGTATATAGGGTGCCCAAAAAAGGGACCCGTAAGATGAATTGCGCCGCCTCGGTAGCCTGGCCCAACGTGGGGTGTAGCGTGTGCATCACAGACGAAGGAAAGCCAAGTCCTATGTCACACGTTCGGGCAGGTCCCTCAGGGGAGGGGCGTACAGCAAGTTTTCGAACAGGGGATCGGTTGGGAAGGGGGGCAGGAGACCACACCAGGACTCGTTCTTTTGACAGCTACACCTGTCGTAACCGAAGTCGGCTCAGCTTACAACCTGTTGGTGCATAGCGCGCAGACAATGGCTTTGACGAAGAACTGGCAGAGAAACGGAAACGTACTCTTCACTCTTCACTTTTCACATGAGGTTCTTCAAGTCGACTACTTTCGAGTCGGCTTCCTTGCGGTGTGTGGAGCTTGTTTCAGGATGAATCAAGCCATGACAGTAGTTCACGAGATGCCATTCGAGAGGCATTGACGCGGACTTCGAGCTCCCAACAATTCTTGGACACAACGCCTTAAAGCCAACACCGCACGTGGCACCCTAGCATCCCTTTTCCTGAGCCTGGAGTCTTTCTGGAGTTCGGCAAGATGGATGGAATGTCAAGAAAGGAGTCAGAAGTGCTTCGCGTGGCACGAGGCTTCAGAAGCAGCCTTCCATCTTCCATCAGAGCACTGTTTCTGTGCTCCCTGTGACATGCGACTGCACGCGCTGACTTTAGTGCACACAATGTCTGGATGAAGTTGACTTTAGTGCACAACGCACTCCATGTTCTGAAGTTGGCATGAGCTTTGGAAGCCAAGCAGGAGGCATCAACCATGATGTTGCTCTTCATAGTGATAAAGGCTCGGCATCATGATTTCGACACGTGCTGCATGCCAGTTTGTGCCTTTTTGATGCAGCAAGGGTGTGTGGTGCTGCTCTGCCTTGCAGAGGCAGTACTGCTGACGCTCTACATGATTATGCTGGTCTTTGGGTGGTCCGACCTTGGTGCTGGCTGGTTCGTCGGTGTTGCTGTTCTCATCGCGGACGTGAACACAGCCCTTTGGAAGCGGAGTTCACCAAAAACAGTGGCGGCCCCCAAAAATTGCGCAGAGCGTCGAAAGCAGTGTGCCTGCCTAGATCGTTTTGGCCTTCTTCCTGCGAATGTGGATCAACCGCTGCAAGGTGTCAACCCAGGCACTTTGACTTCAGAAATGGCTGATGTTCAGCACTGGGATGCTTGAAGGTTGACGGGCTTCCAGTTCTCAATTGTGGAGCAGGGTTCCACTATGTTCCACTATATAGTCTCAGTATGAAGGTGCGTTTGCCTCGTAAAAATTATTCGAAACCTACAGGTCCCTTGTTCTGGGGTCGGCAGGGCGGTGCTGGCGCCCGGCCTACCTGTCTGTCACAGGAAAGTGCGTCCGACTCTTGGATTCAGGGTCCCCCCCCCGACCCTTCTGCAGGTTCGCGACCAGCAGAGGCATGAGGGGCTGGCCCTTGATCACTATGACCTTTTAACGTTAGGGACAGGGTGGATGAAGATGAAGCTGCTGAGAGAGGCTTTCCTCCAAGGTTTTTTTTTTTGTTTTCGCTTCAGCGGTTCATCGAAGGCATCGGGGGGGGGGGGGGGGGGGGGGGGGGGCGTGCGGAGGGGCAAGGTGAGAGGGAGAGGCGGGGTGGAAAAGCAAGCCAAAACCCCATACCGACGCCCTCCTCTGCATGGTTGCACGGAACGTAGCCGTTTTAAACGGGCAAGGGGGGCCATGAGCAGGGTTGGTTTCAACCTTTCAACTTTCGCACCACCTACTCAAGCTGCCGATTCCGCCACCATGCTGCTCAGGAGGAGACCCAGAAGCAGAGACAGGAGAGGCGGAGAACGGCACTGGAGAAGCTGTTGAGACACCTGACCAATTGGCAGCTTCTTGTGTTCAGCCTCTCTTGCTGGCCTCTTCCATAAGGAATACCGTATGCAGAGCTGCAGACGAAGCAGGACAGCTCCGAAAGGACTGCCTGGGTCATTTCTGTGGTGCTAGTGAAGTGGAGTTTCAGGAGACTATATCGCCTGGGTGTGAGTGTTGGTGAGTATGACCCCAGGCGAGAGTTCATGGAACTTGTCATTCAGTTCATGCGTGCCGCCACGGCTGTGCTCGCAGGATCAGCGATGCGCCAAGCAAAATGGCATTGCAGGATGCGAAGGGCCCTGGGGTAGGCTGTCTTCTGCCCATCCATTCCAGAGTTTTTTGTGCCAATGACATTTCAGGGCTGCGCGTGCTTTGCTGCGAGCAGGATCAGTGCATTGTGTGCCTTGGCAACTTCGAGCCGGATAGCAGAGCAACTTGGCGGGAGAATGCTGGCCTTCCACATCACACTCAAGACTGTAAAGCTCGCGCCATCGTGTAGTCCTGTAGGCTCCTTGTTGAGGTGATACAGCTTGACTGCGGGCATGTGTTCCATGCCTCTTGGCTGGTCAC